TCTCTCATCTGCGCGGCTTCCCGGCTTCGCGCGCACACTCCGCGGTCTCCGCGCCCACACCACGGCCTCGCACTAGCCCCACGTTCCCTATCTATTCACGCCCCATGCTCTCTCTGCACGCAGCGGCTTCCGCGAGTCACACAGCCCCAGCTCACGTTTCTGCCACCACTGGCATTCAGTCCAAGTTCCCCGGACTAACCTGGCGAATTCCAACCTGGCGGCCCACGTCTCTGCCTCTGGTTCCAGATCTTCACCTTTTGCTCCCCGGGCTGACCTGAAGAATTCCAAGATGGCTTACGTCTCCGCCTCGGCCTGCACTCGCGGCTTCATCCTCCCTAACATTTTTCTCTACCCGGTATATTTCCCTAAGTTTTCTTCCAACAATATTCCTCCCTCATTTCTCCTGGCCTCTCCCCACAGTCCATACCCAAGTCTAAGTTTCTTATAGGTTTCACTTTCACTTTCAACCTGCAGTCTGTATCTGAGTCTAAGTTTCTTCTTGCTTTCACTTTAAATCCTAACTTCTTTCCCACAGTCCGTATCCGAGTCTATGCCTAGGCTTTCGATAGCTTCTTCCAGCACCTTTTTCGTCCGGCTTTCCCCTAGGCTCTTTGCTAGTCTTTCTCTCCGGTATTTTCCACTTCTTCCCGTTTCTTCCCTCCTAAGTTTCATATCCGAGTCACGGCACCATTATGTTGCTCCCCCTCTTCGTGGAGGAGCGACACTAGACTCTGCCTAGGCTTCACATCCGAGTCACGGCACCATTATGTCGCTCCCCCTCTTCGTGGAGGAACGACACAGGACCCTGCGCTGTTCTTTCGTCTGCTTGGCCCTCCCCGGGTTTGCTGCTGGTTCTTCCCGGGTTGGCTACCGACCCTTCCACCTCCGTGGAAGGGCGGTTCCCCCTGCCACATTCCCCACTTCCGCGGGGGAGTGGCACACCGCCGGCCGGCTCTCTCGGGGGCTGCTCAGATGTTCCTCAGGTGTTCCCCTTAGATGTTCCTGGTGCATGTTGTCTCTCTCCTCCTTTATAGTCCTCTTCCACCAATCCCAACTCTGCTACCCACACGCCAAGTACACTGCTCCCCTCCAATCAGGAGCAGGTCCTGCTGTTTATTGGTTGAACTGGAGGCAGCTGTGTAGAAGCTGCTTCTCCCTTCTCAGTGCCATATTGTGGGAGAGCAGATGCATAGAATAAGTCTTAATTCCAGTAACTTAGTCTAGTCCGAGTTGCTCCCCACAGTGTCTATCAATGAAATTATTTTTTTATGGGAAACATATCACTGGGTCTTGATTTTTAATCCATTCAACAGGTCTATATCATTTAACTAGTGAATCTGTTTACATTCAAGGTTTTGCTGATAAGTAAAGCCATATTCCTGCTCATTTTTTTCTGATAGTCTTTTTTGAGAACTGATGGCTTGCTGTTTTGAAAAGGTTGAGTCTCTTGTGTATATGTTCTAGTGAGTTTTGTACTTCTGCATATTTTCATGATGGTAAAGATTTCTTTATTTGAAAGGTAGAGTTATAGACATAAAGAGAGACAGAGAGAAAGGTCTTCCAGCCACTGGTTCACTCCCCAGATGGCTACAACTTCAGGAGCTGGGCTGATCTAGAGCCAGGAGCCGAGATCTAGGCTGATCTAGAGCAGGGTCCCAAGGACTTGGGCCATCTTCTACTGCTTTCCCAGGCCATAAGCAGAGAGCTGGATTGGAAGAGGAGCAGCCAGGACACGAACTGGTGCCTACGAGGAATGCCGGTACTGCAGGCAGAGGTTTAGCCCACTGTGCCACAGTACTGGCCCCCATCTTTTTAACTGTGGGGCTCTCCTAAGCATTTCTTTGCTTCCAATATTTATTTATTTGGAAGGCAGAGAAACCAAGGGAAAAAAAGGGAGAGAGAGATCTTCCATCTACTAGTTCACTTCCCAAGTGGTTGCGATAGCCAGGTTGAAGCTTGGAGCCAGGAACTCCCCCTAGTCTCTCACATGAGTGGCAGGGGCCCAAATACTTGGGCCATCTTCTTCTGCCTTCCCAGGAACATTAGCAGGATGCTGGATTGGAAATGGAGTTGCTGGGACTGGAACTAGCACTCAAGTACAGGATTCGGTGCAAGTAGTGGTGTAACCTGCTGCATCACAACGTTGCACCCACTCAGGCATTTCATTTATAGCCAGTCTAGGGCTGCTGAATTTTAGTTTTGCTTATCTGGGAAAATACTTTAGTTCTTGTTTTTTCTTTCAGGACTTTGATATATCCCATTGTCTGAAGTCTATTGTTAGTCTAATAGTAATTTACTTATGTGTGACTTGAGACTTTCTCTTGCTGTTTTTAGAATTATTTTACTTTTGACAGTTGGACTACAACAGACCTCAGAGAGGATTTTTCTTACTTTAATATATTAGAGATTCTTTGCATTTCCTGGACCTGGATATCTTATGATTTGCAAAGTTTTCTTTGCAAATTATTTCATTGAATAGGTATATTTTTCTTCTCTTCTCCCTCTGAAACACCTATATAACATGAAAGTATACTTGCTTAATTGTATGCCATGTGTTTCACAAGTTTGCTTCATTCTTTAAAAGTATTTTTGGGGCCAGCACCATGGCACAGCAGGTTAATCCTCCACCTGCGGCACCAGCATCCCACGTAGGGCGTCGGTTCCAGTCCTGGCTGCTCCTCTTCCAATCCAGCTCTGCTGTGGCTGGGGAAAGCAGTGGAGGACGGCCCAGACTTGGGCCCCTGCACTCGTGTGGGAGACTTGGAAGAAGTTCCTGGCTCCTGGCTCCTGGCTCCTGGCTGTGGATCGGTGCAGCTCCGGCCATTGCAGCCAATTGGGGAGTGAACTAGCGGATGGAAGACCTCTATCATTCTCTCAACACGTCACACAGAAAGATAGGTAAACTGACTTTCAAATAAATTAAGCTTTTAAAAAGTGTTTTTGTTTGTATCAACTGGATTATCTCAAACATGTTTTCAAGCTCACAAATTCTTTCTTTTTGCTTAGTCTGCTATTGGGGGCTGTCAAGTATCAGACTTTTTGGCTTCTTACAGTGAAAGAATTCTGTTTGCCTTCCTAATTACATTGAATTTTATTTTACTAAGTTTCCTTAAAATCATTATTTTCTGTCTTTTTTCAGGAACTTCACTAACTTCCTTTTCTTTTGAGTAAGTTGTTATAAATATGCTCCTTGGGAGGGATCATGGTACTTGATTTTCATGCTTCAGTACTGGAGGATTTGTGCATCTGTCAGATCACCTGCCTCCACCAAATTCATAGGCTGGCTCATGTAGTTAGACTTTCTTAGTAATGTGTCTCCAGATGGTGGGTGAATATGCGGTGCTGGCTTCTGTTCCAGCTGAGTGCTTTGCCATAATGTATGTTAGCTTCTTCAGTTGTGGCCAACACCAGCAGAATCTGCAGGCCTAAGCTGTTGGATTGCACTGCTACCTGAGATGCAGGCAGGTGGGTCTGCTGGTGGTTCAAGGCAGAGTGCACCTGGCTACCTAAGTGGGGCATTTGTGAGTCTCTGTGGGTCACCTGGGATGGGACCTTTCTGGCAGGTCCATGCAGGTGTGGTGCCATCAATTCCTGAGAGTGACATTGAGCTGGGCTATTCCAGTGGATCCAGGTAGGTGCAGCACAGCATTCCTGGTGGTAGAGCAGGGTTCCTGTCCAGTGTCCATGGCCCTTCATGGCAGCTGGAGGTGGGCTATGTCAATGGCCCCAGGTAGGTCACCTATCAGTGTCCAATCTTCACTAGACTTCTGAGAGCCATCTGGAAGACTTCTAAATCAAAAAGATATGTCTAGGTAGAATCTGAGAATTTTAGTTTTTAACAGTTTTACAGATCATACTTGTTAGAGGATGTTTTGAAAAGCACTGGCTTACAGGAAACAGTTGCATATAATAAAGGCCTTCTCCAGACCCAGCCCTTGTAACAATGGTTTGGAAGTACATATACCAATATGACGAGATAGACAGGGTTGGGAAGTATAGTTAACACTGAATCTACTAGCAAGTACATACGGAGTACCTGCTATATACAAAACTAATACTGAACTCTGTACATATAAAAAAAGTGCCACATTTGATAGTATTCTAAATTAGAAAAAATCTCAAGGCCATTTAGCAAAAATATAAAGAAAGCATTAAAACCTGTCGTTTTTGTCAGACAATTCCATGTCTAGGAATTTATCTACAACCATAAAGATACTGACAACAGGCCGGCGCCGCGGCTCACTAGGCTAATCCTCCGCCTAGCGGCGCCAGCACACCGGGTTCTAGTCCCGGTCGGGGCGCCGGATTCTGTCCCGGTTGCCCCTCTTCCAGGCCAGCTCTCTGCTATGCCCAGGGAGTGCAGTGGAGGATGGCCCAGGTGCTTGGGCCCTGCACCCCATGGGAGACCAGGAAAAGCACCTGGCTCCTGGCTCCTGCCATCGGATCAGCGCGGTGCGCCGGCCGCAGCGCGCCGGCCGCGGCGGCCATTGGAGGGTGAACCAGCGGCAAAGGAAGACCTTTCTCTCTCTCTCTCTCACTGTCCACTCTGTCAAAAAATTAAAAAAAAAAAAGATACTGACAATATTAAAATGGGAAAATATCCACAGAAGCACTTTCAAAGTGAAAAGATGGAAATTTAAGTGACCCACAGTTACAGGATCACACCTACACCCACACCCACCTCTCCTGATTGTCTAGACCATTGATTCTCAAAAGGCAAGGATTCATTCTCGATCAGAACTACTCTTGGCGTAGTTTGCTTGCAGAATTTAGTGTGAGTAGAAGCCAAGGATGCTGTTAAAATCCTAGAATGTGTGGGGACAGTCCATCCTAATGGATCCCCATCTGGCCCCGAGTGTCAATCAATGGTGCTGAATCTGAGAAATACTACCTAGACTCTCTTCTCTGGGGACTCCACTGGAGCCTTGCTTTGTGTAATAACTGTCATTTCATACCATCCATCTGCCACTTGAGTAACGAGGGACTGTATTCCCCTCCAGGCCTCATGCTGTTGCTTTAGTGTCCTGGTGCTGTCTCAAATGAATCCACATGCAGGTAGGTCATGCCGTCTTTCTCTTCCTACTCCTGTCCCTGTGGTGCAGCTGCAGGAGAAGTCTTGCAGTGATGTTTTTCCTCCTGCACAGCTGCCCATGCCTTCCAGGGAAGCAGTGCTAGAGCTGAGCTGGCTAACACAGTCCTAGTCCTGCTAGTATTAATGCCACTACAGCTTTGCAGTTTTCGGAACACTCTCCCCTATCTCTGCCGACACATTTAGTTACTGGAAACCAAAGAGGTGCTGTTGGGCGTTCACATGGAATGCACTGTGAGGACAGTTCCTTCAGTTTGTGCCTGGCACCTCTCCACGACACCCTGTCATTTCGCAGTTTTCAGTCTTAGAGTTAAGTCTTTCACCACTCTGAGAAGACTTTCATGTATGGTGAGAGATACAGATCTAGTTTCATTCTTCTGCCTATGTAGATCCAGTTTGGCCAGCACCATTTGGTGCAGGGGCTCAAGGACATGGGCCATCTTCCACTGCTTTCCCAGGCCACAGCAGAGAGCTGGATCGGAAGTGGAGGAGCTGGGACTTGGACTGGCACCAAATGGGATGCTGGCATTGCAGGTGGTGGCCTTACTGATTTTTTTTAACAAAAATCAGTCTTAGCTTCTTCAGAAGGTCATATAGTTCAAATTACAGAATATCTAGCCTTTTCAGATTGCTTCTTAAACTTAGTAATATGCATTTAAGGTTACTCCATGTATTTTCATGTCTTATTTCCTTTTAGTGCTGAATGCTATTCCATTTGTCTGGATGTGTATATATAGCTAAGATCACCAAGCTCTCCCTGCTCAATCTACATTACTTACCATACTCAGGTTCAGTGACAGGTTCCACAATGCAGAGGGCATTGTAGTAAGTTAGCAAATTGGGTTTGAGTCTCCATCCTAGCACTAAGGAGTAGTCTTCAGCAAGGAATCCACTCAATATCATTCTCTCTATGCCCCCCCCCAACTCCCACCCCTTCTGTCTCTCTCCAGCTCTCTGTCTCCATCTTGGGTCAATTTATATCATTCCTGGCAGTCTATGACTCTTAAATACCAAAGAAAGTGACTTTGGGTTAGCACAAAACTGAAAACCAACATATCTTACATGGGCTTCCTCACACCTCTTCTCTCCCCTTCCTTTCCCAGGATGGGAAGGTGCTGTGAACCAGTCATGTCAATTTAGAATTACTACCAACAGCAGAACCTGGAGGCTTGACTCTGAAACCTGGAAATGTGGAACAAAGCAGCAGTAAGTGCCGCCCAAGTGTAGATATGTTTAGAACACCCAAGTTGCCAAATCCAAGAAAGGGGTAGTATTCAGGATACTAGAGTTTTAAATTTTTTAAGCTTTTATGATTCATGGACACTTTCAGTTCCTCTGTTACTGTGTGGAACTCAAATCATGAACTCGCCACTGCTGACAATTTTTAAGGGCCTCCTGTGTGCCAAATACTGTTAAGAGTTTTGCTTACCTTGTGTGATAGAACCCTTACAACAATCCCTTGAGTTGAGTTCTGTTGTTTTCTCAGTTTTTTTTTTTTTTTTAGAAAGGCAGAGTTAGTGAGAGAGAGAGAGAGAGAGAGAAAGGTCTTCCTTTTCCACTGGTTCACCCCCCAAATGGCTGCTATGGCCAGCGTGCTGTGCCGATCCAAAGCCAGGAGCCAGGTGCTTCCTCCTGGTCTCCCATGGTGGGTGCAGGGCCCAAGCACTTGGGCCATCCTTCGCTGCCCTCTCGGGCCACAGCAGAGAGCTGGACTGGAAGAGGAGCAACTGGGACAGAATCCGGTGCCCTAATCGGGACTAGAACCTGGGGTACCTGCGCCGCAGGCGGAGGATTAGCCTAGTGAGCTGCGGCGCTGGCTGTTATTTCAGTTTGATAGATGAAGAAAGATGTGGAGTGATGGCAAAACAGGTTATACAAGGTCATGTGCTTAAAGTAGACTTGGCTGGGACGAGGCCAAGTTCTACTCACTCTCGGAAGGTTTCTGATTCATTCCTTCATTCTCAATATCTGTGGAGGAAGGGATTCTAGAATTCATGGATACAAATTGGGTTGTCCTGTGTGGTCTGCTACTCTTATAGAATTAAAGGCCAGGGTTTCTAGGGACATGAGTTGGAAGAGGAGTGTTTTTCACATGTTTTGGGCTTTCTGGGAGACATCTCATGTGGTATCTTGGAACCATTTCATAGATGGAGAAATTAAGCTCAGAGCTAATTGTTAGAAATTAGAACTGTAAAGGGAAGGGAGATGTTCTTCTTGGGAGTCCCAACCTCTTCTTAGGCCAGTGGAAGTCCTCAACTGCTCAGACTGTCCTTTAGCACACTGAGTCTCAACATAGTCCAGTGAGCATCAACTGACAAACAGTCCCCTGGTGCTCCCACGGAAGTGCACTTACGGCACTTGGTATTCTTAGTGCCACCATCTTTTTGTCTCTGACATACATATCAGATCCAACAGAAGTGTCAGGTTGTGAAATGCCACTGCACTGCCACACAGCATGCTTTTTGCCCAGCTGAAGAACAGAATCTACATTTAGGAAAAAGAGAGTATTCATTGGATGTCCTATCTGTCCTGCTTGCACATCTTGTCTTAGCTCAGTCACCACCAGGACTGGCTATGAAGTGACTGGGCATTAAGAGCAGCAAGCAGGAGAAAAAAGAAATGTCAGCCACTTCGGTTTCACTGAAGGCATCTCTTGATTTTTCAAAAAGGACCCTTAAATTCACTTGTATTGGCAAATTTTTTAATTCATAGCATTCCATTAAGACACCAACCTAGGCACCCAGAATGGCGGCTTGGGTCTATCCTCAACAACTGTACTACAAAGAAGGACATACTCAACCCACTTTGGAGAACAGCACCAGGCTATGGAAATTCTAAGGTGGAATGAGACACTTAGACCTGGCAATGAAGAAGGGACAGGGTGGGGTTCCACTTGCATTGAGCCTGGAGAGGAGAAGCATTTCTATAGCCAGAGGGGGTCAGGGAGGGCATTCCTTTTTGTGGGGACAGGGACATGTAGAATGTGCGCAAGGGAAGCCCAGCTGTTTACTTAGGCTGGGCAAAAGGTATGTGTCATGGGTCTTGGGAGATGAGGCTGGAAATGGATTACAGAGGGTCTTAGAAGCTCTGGTAATGAGGCGTGAGGGGTGTTGTACCAGGGACAACTTGGTCTGCTACCTCTTTATTTCAGAGATAGTCATATATAGGGGTGATGTGTCATTAGACATTCCTTGCCTATAAACCTTCCCCACAAGAGGAAAATTCACAAATCTAATCAGCAGAGGCTACAGTAGCTGTTGAATCTACTTCAACTAGGGGGAAGCTACTGAGCTTTTCAGAAGAGAATCCAGTCTTTAGTCTTGAGTCATTACTAGAACCTGCAAATGTGCCCTCTATATATTTCCTTTTCCTACTTACTGTTTCTATGTGGTGAGTCCCATGGCCTGAAATCTAGGAATCCATTAGGCTTTGCTCCATCAACTCAGCCATCCAGCAGGAGGGAATAACATACCTTTCTTTTACTTCTTGGTCTAACTACGTCCCCAAACTCAATTTAATCAGAGCAGCCCTCTTCAAGGCTGGTATTAAGCAAGTGCTCAGCTAAAAAAAAAAAAAAAGTTATTTCCCTTGCTTTTTTTTAAAAAAAAGATCTATTTACTTATTTGAAAGGGAAAAAGAGAGAAAGGTCTTCCATCTACTGGTTCACTCCCCCAGATAGCTGCAATGGCTGGATCTTCTTCCTGGTCTCCCACACAAGTACATGGGCCCAAGGACTTGGCCCATCATCTACTTTCTCAGGCCATAGCAGAGAGCTGGATGGGAAGTAGAGCAGCTAGGATTGAACTGGCATCCAGAGGAGAGGCTGGCAGTGTAGGTGGCGGTTTTACCCATTCCACCACAGGACCAGCCTTGCACTTTGCTTCTTATCCCAAGTTTTCTTCACATGACAATGCTATCCAGCAGAACTGGGAAGGAATATGGACACTGCCCTGCATGATATTTGTAATACACACCCTGACATCTATGGGAGGTAAAAAGCAGCTTGTAAAATGGACCCAGGAACTCAACCCATTACACAGGCTCTACTGAAGTAAATTTTTAGGCCTCAAGTTGTCCTTTTTTTTTTTTTTTTTTTTTTTTTAGACAGGCAGAGTTAGTGAGAGAGAGAGAGAGAGAGATGAGAGAAAGGCCTTCCTTTTTCCGTTGGTTCACCTCCCAAATGGCCACTACGGCCGGCGCACTGCACTGATCTGAAGCCAGGAGTCAGGTGCTTCCTTCTGGTCTCCCATGTGGAGGATTAGCCAAGTGAGCCATGGGGCCGGCCATTTCCTCTCATTCTTATCTGTGACAAACAGCTCTCAGACTTACCACTAGGCAAGGCCACCTGTGGCCTTATGCTCAACCCCTATGATCACTGTTAAACTTCCTTTGTACGTGGGTGTTTTGCTCAAGGAGCCCTGTTGTTGCCTGGAGTTAGTTATTGGATCATTCTTCCTAAACTTCAGCTTCTTGGTACCAGGCAATCTTCATTTTAGTGCACTCCTGAATCTCAAGAGCCCATGGCAAATAGACCATCCTGGGCTGTGCTCTTGCCGTGCTTTGTGACTTGAGCAGCCTTTAGAATAGACTGCAGTGTCCTAGAGTCAAGGAGCCAGGTCGCTGCTGCCACCACCTTTCCTGCAGTGCTGCTGTGCCTGCTTGTCCTCATCTCTGTCTCTCTTGAGTAGGGTGTGCCAGTGCCCTGCCTCATGCCCAACCTGCACACCATCTGACTGGAGGATGCTTATTGCCCATGGGGTGTGAGATGCAAAAGGCGTCACCTGCAATCCATGCAACCCTCAGTCCTTGGGGAACTGAGGCATGGGAGAGAGTAAACTTGACCAGCTGGATACAGGGTGAGGTGCAACTCGAATGGTTCAGAGAGGCAGGGAGTCACGAGAGTTCTGAGAAGACTTCATTAAAGTCCCTTCGGTCAGCTGGGTGCAGACTATGGTTATGTTGGAAATGCACTACCGGAATTTTGTCTTCCGTGACTCACTTTCCTTTTATCTTCATTCCCCTTTGCCGGTGAACGCAATAACAAAGAAAGGTTAATAGAATTTTTCCTTTTATGTTTTCCCAGGGAAACTACACTAAGGAAACACAACAGCCAGTTGGAGCACTAGCGATTTATCCCTGCTCCCTCATCTGTACTGCTACATCAACCTCACTGTAGTCCCCAATATATTATTAAAGTGTCTTCTTGCTTCATCCTTCATCTTTCCCCTGGAAGCCCCCTAATTTACTGTTGGGGGAGCATAAATGAGCATAGTCACCCCCCAAACAAGGCTGTTCCACACACCCCGTGTACTGTGGGGGCTTCCATGTTGTAATCTTCAGTTAAATCCACCCTGTCCTAGAGAAGGCACCTGGGAGCTCTGCTCAGGGTCGTCACTCAATGTCAGGACAGCTCCGCCAGAGCCACTGAGTGACAATCTGACATCTCTGGTACCTGCCTTCAGAACTGTGCCCCAAATGGGCCTGAATCCACACAGTTCTCTGTAAAATGTGTCGTTTGGGACATCTTTAGTGTCTGCCCAATGTGAGGTCCCTGAGGCTCTGTCAACTCCTGTCCTAGGTGGACCTCACAACACTGTAGCCCAGAGGGCCCAGGGGTAGCTTACCAGGATCAGTAACTAATAAGACACCATTTGGCCTGCCATGGTTGGTTACAGAAAGCACAGCATGAACAAAGACTCACTGTGCTGTGAGCAAAGTATACCCTGCAGTGGAGAAAGCAAAAATGGCACTGCTGGACACCAAACCTAACTTGAATTTCTTTACTGCAGGATCCTGACTGCATGTTGAAGATTTAATCATCTGGTATCATCTTGTCCCCATCAGTAAAAGCCAAGGTATGAGAAAAGAAATTGATGGAAGATACCTGTGAAAATAATCAACTCAAACATTAACCATATGACAATCCATAGTAAGTACTTCACATATGCATTACTTAATTTTTTTTTTTTTGACAGGCAGAGTTAGACACAGAGAAAGGTCTTCCTTCCATTGGTTCACCCCCAAAGGCCTCCAAGGCCAGTGCTTTGCTGATCTGAAGCCAGGTGCTTCCTCCTGGTCTCCCATGTGGGTGCAGGGCCCAGCACTTGAGCCATCCTCCACTGCCATCCTGAGCCACAGCAGAGAGCTGGCCTGGAAGAGGGGCAACCGGGACAGAATCCAGCGCCCTGACTGGGACTAGAACCCGGGGTGCCAGCGCTGCAGGCAGAGGCTTAGCCAGCATTATTTAACTTCAGGATGACCATCAGTTCTCTGTGGATGATGTCTCATAGAGATAGAGCAGCTGATTACCTGATATATGCAAAGGTTTTTAAAAATCAAATTGAAAATACCTTCTAGAAAGGAAAACAGCTGATGCCTTGCTTCTCATTGCTTTCAAATAAGTCCTTATTTCGGGACAAAATACAAACAGCCACTTTGAAAATGAAAAGCAGTTTTTGCTGTTCACTCTTAAGCAGGATTCCTGACCCCTTCTCTTTCCCAAATGACCTTATTTGACTTGAAAGCAAAACTAATTTGTTGGGACAAATGCGTCAGGGTGGGCAACCTGTCAGAGTAGATCTGGAAGATCCCAGAAGGCCAAGGGAAAGCAGAATGCAGAACTTCTTGGAGCTTAAGGATTTGTGCTATAGCCTTTTCCATAGATAAGCTCTCCAATGATTAAGCATGCGTAGATATTCAATAGCCAGAGTATGGGCAATGTGAGTGGGATATAAGGAAGAACTCCCTTCTTACTATTAAATGGGCTCCTGGAAGGAAGGTGAGCCTTTTGTTAACTGATATTTGACCCCTAAAATAAATTGCCCCTGTCTCTACCAGTTTTGAACTTATTTCCCCAATTTCTCTATGCATTTCCCACTTCCTTTGGGGCCTTGTCTGCATTTTCCAGAAATGCTCAAAAAAAAAAAAAAAATTCTGGTGGGAGTAGATACTGAGGAGTCACAATTATCATTCATTGCAGGATGCACTGAAAAAAAGAAATCTTAAAAAAAAAATTCACTGCTTCCCCAGTTTGGCCATGTTTAACACATAATGCCTCTTTCCACCATGAGAACAGCAGTGAGTACTGGACCAACCATTCCCCCACTTCACCCACCTTCCACTTTGGTTGTCTGGGTGAGCAACCTACATAATCGTGGAGCTGTCTGGGATGTGAACACCTCATTCTGTTCGCTCAGGTGTTGGCCACACAAGCAAAATGTCAGGTGAAAAGCTGTTACCTGAAATACTCCCAGACTTGCCATCTCCTTTTCAATAAACAGAGGAAGAGTTGCTACCATGTGCTTTGATATAAACAGGCACAGAGGTGTAGACCCTTCAGCATTGGGGAGGCTACACAGAGGATGCCTGCAATGAATGAGTTACATACACACAACATGTGCATACCACAGGTACTCAAGAATGTTTTTTGAATAAATTAATGTGGAGAATCCAGGATTAATTTGGGAATGAGAATACTCAATCAAATCAGCATACCCATTATATGGATAAGAACGCTAAGTGTGCTTTGTGATTAATGTTTCCTCCGTGGCTCTTTCAGGATTGCACCTGAAGACTTAGTCCCAGTGGCCAAGTGGCTGTGGAAATAGCCCATAAAATTCTCCTCCTCCTCCAGGCACTGTACTAGGGCAAGCAGGTGGAGAGGGGTAGCACAGTGGAGGGAGGTTGCTGAGCACAGCTTTGCAGCCCTAGGAAGCCAGAGTGCCTGGAGCCGAATCCCAACATTGTCGCACATGAACTGGGACTCTGGGCCAGTTACTTCTTCTCTTGGATCCTCATCTGTAAAATGGAGTGAACAAAAGTACTATCCTCTTCAGAATACCATGAGGAATAGTAAGTTTAATGTCTGTGCATGTTACACCTTTGAAGCTCTTAGCCCAAATCCTGGACTACACTAAATAATCAGTGTTCTGTGTGTGCATGTTAAATAAAAGTAACAAAATCAAAACCAAAATTGCAATGAGAAAGAGGCGGCCAGCCCCTCACTTCTGGGAGCTGGCCTGCACTTACAGCCAGACCTTCGTGTTCTCCATTTGAACTTACTTTTGCAGGACATCAACAGCAGACAAGGTCACCTTGAGACTGCAATGGATCAGAACAAAAGTAAGTTCATTCCATAACTGAGTCTGAACACAGACAAAATGCTAAGAACCAAACCACACAATTCCCGACATCCCCCTCTCCTGGCTAACATGAGTGACTGTTTCCCGTCTCCATGTTATATTACAGCTTTGTCTTCCACTCCTCTCTTCCAGATAAGATACTTGAAACAATCAAACCACAGAATTGCTCTTGCCTCACCGAAGCATCTGGTGCAGAACATAACTTCCCCTCCTCGGTGTTTGCTCCACATCGCCACGCTCCAGCCTAAATCCTGCAAGTCCTTTCTAATAGCTGTTCACTGAGACGCCGCCACTGTGCCCCCTGGCATGCATGATCCTGCCCTGCAAGGGGTAATCAACAAGTTGTCAACTACTAGTGTGCTCCTGGTGAGTGCTGGCTGGCGGGTATCACCAACCACCTCAAGTAGAAAATTCACTGCAGAAGAAGCATGGCATAAGATTATGAAAGATGACATTTCTATGCAAATAACTTTAGTAATTGTTTTTTTTTTCCAACACTTTTTGAAGTGTCGCCCTAGAGACAGCACTGATCCAGGGCATGGAGGAAGAAGTGAACATTTATGGAGCATATCCTAATTCAAAGGCTCTGGGTGAGACACCTAACCCATACTATTTTACTTAATCTTCAGGATAACCCTAGGAGGTGGATATTTGTTAACTACATTTTACAGACAAGGAGGTAGAGTGTCAGGAGCCAAATAATTTGCACAAAGTAATGAAGAGCAGGTAAGTGGGCTAAATCTAATAGTACTTAGTACATTGCAGGAAATCACCAAGAGGCACACAGCAGAATATTTGCAATCAAACACTGGCACAGCAACTCCACGGGAGGAATTCAGGCGAGACCAGGTATGTTCCCCACCTGGAACAAAAGATGGGAATGGAAATTGCAACTAAAGAGACAAAGGAGGTCTTTTGTCTGGGTCACGCCTTCCTCTGTCCCCTGCCTGTGTTAATTACAACGTTTTCTTGACTGATAATCATCAGTCCGTGGAGGAAGTACAGCCCTTCCATTGGTTTCCAGATGAAGGCTTCATGAGGTTCTACAGCAATCAAATCAGAACCTGTGCGTCCTCCAATAGAGCTAAAGGGGCAGGAGATGACCTTTCCAGCTCTGCTCCCTTCGTGATGCGTCCTGCATGTTGTCTCCATCCAGCATGCAGCAGGCACAGCCCCTTCTCAGATGTGCACGGTCAGATCTGCATGCTCCCTACACGTCTCTGCTGTGCGGGAAATGGGTGGCCTCTATGGAATTTCACTGTCTGGCCTCCAGTATGTGCAGAGAGACACCCCAACATTCTGACTGAAGTCCCCCTCTGAGCACAAGTAGGCAATTCAGGACCACCCAATTTGCCTACTTTGCCTCAGTTCTTTCCCAGCTCTGCAGGCAGTAAGAAAGCTCCACCTCGGAGTGAGAGCAGGGGTCTACGCCTCAGCCCACTTGACCTTAAGCCAATTAGGTAACCTGTCTCTGCACCAGTTTTACCCTCTACAGGAGGAGATGACAGGAATGCTTCCCTTTAAAGGGACTTCTTTTTCCTTTTCCCCACCCCTCTTCCCTTCACCCATGTGGCTCCCTGAGCTCAACTCACCACCAGGCTTCATGGGTAGGCATGAAATTCAAGCCTGTCGAATCGAAAACATGGTCAAGGATGAGCATGTCATTTGGCATAAGTCACTCACAAAATACTATGACAAACACCTTTTCATTTGCTGTAAGCTTGGAGCTGCTCAGAGTTGGCTTGGGTAGAGCCAATTGGTAAGAAAGCCAAGAGAAAGGTGAAGCAAAGATTTTTAAGAATGCAGGGATCTAGCCGGAAGCATCTCCTGGTGTTTTCCGTCCTAGGAGCAAATGTTCCCTCCCACCTTTGCAAATGTAAACACACGTTAAGGTGAGTTTCTGCCATTTGCATCCAGAGGAGGGTTGACCAATACACTTTCTCTTACTGTACTGTGAGAAGTAAGTTAGAAGATCCATATGAAGCATTTAGCACAGTGCATGGAACGCCTCCGCGACCCAGGCAGCCCATTTGCACGTGCTGGTGAGGAGAGTGTGTCCCAGCAGAGCCGGAATCTCCCCTCCAAGTCACCTGTACTGTGACACCCGCAGCCCTTGGTGAACACCAAAACACAACGTCATCCTGGGAGTGACTTCTGATCTTCTCAACTTTCAGGATTTATCTTGGCATTACCCCTCCCAGTGTCCTGCCTACATGTGCTGGCCAGTCCCTCGGACTGCTCTCCTCTCTGACACAACTCACGGCAAAACGAGGGGTAACAGCAGTACTGTGGACACAGGAAGCCATTCTGGGTGAGAGTTTTAATCTTAACCTGATCAACAAAACACTACCTCCTTATAACTCAGTGTTCTAGGAAAAGGAAACCACTGGCCTTCTCCCCTAGTCCCATCTCTCTCTTCTCCCTGAACAACTCTTTTTACTCTGGAGATCCCATTTAACTGGGATGTGAGAAAGAGTGGGGGCAAGTAGTAAAAGCTTAAATGCCACAAAGAGGCAGCTGATCCAAAGAGAAGGAAGTGTAGACCTCTGGGTGTCTCAGCAAAGAGCACAATGCTGACAAAGGCCTCTGTTGGAATTAATGGCCAGACCTCATGGCCCCAAGTCAGCCATTTCCTTCACATGCTTTTACCAGGGCCCAGCCCCAGCAGGAAGCTCAGATCTTTCCCAGCTCTGCATGGCAGGAAGAAAGCTCCACCTCAGAGTGAGAGCATGGGTGATTCTGGCTTCCTCAAGCCACTTCCCAAAACTTTCAAGGATGGAATTACAGGCTGACTGTGCCTAGTCTGTGGGCACTGGATTTGTCTTTCTAGGAAGGAGCACCAGCCAAAGGACAGGAATTATTCTCTCTATCATTCTTCCCTATCATTAGACCTTTGTCTAATCCCCCAATGCAAATTGCTCCCTTCATGCATCTTTTTTTTTTTTAAATATTGATTTACTTGAAGGTTGGAGTTACACAGAGAAAGAGGTCTTCCATCCACTGGTTCACTCCCCAGATGGCCACAACAGGTGGAGCTGGGCCAATCCAAATCCAGGAGTCAGGAGCTTCTTCTGGGATTCCCACATGGGTGTGGGGGCCCCAGGACTTGGGCCATCTTGTACTGCTTTCCAGGCCATAGCAGAGAGCTGGAGGGGAAGTGGAGCAGTCAGGACTTGAACCGGCACCTCTATGGGATGCTGGCACTGCAAGGCAGCAGTTTTACCTGATACGCAGCAGCGCCAGCCCCTCCATGCATCTTGACCCATAGTTTAACATGGCAGCCACAAAAGTGGAAAGAAGGTTTGATTATTTTTAGGAAGCTGGATCCATATTACAGGTAGCATTGGCTAGAGAATTTACAGGCACTCCAGCAAAATGAAAATGCTGAGTCCTTTTGCACAATAAAAATTTTGTGGCTAGCATTGGGCACGATAGGTTACACCACTGCCTGCAGTGCTGGTATCCTATGGTTTGAATCCCTGGTGCTTCTCTTATCGAGCTGTTAATGCAGCAGGAGATGGTCCAAGTGACTGGGACCCTGTACCCTCCTGGGAGACCCAGAAGATGCTCCTGGCTTCGATCATCCCAGCTACAGCCACTGCAGCCATTTCAGGAGTAAACAAGTGGATGGAAGATCTCCCTCCCTCCCTCCCTCCCCTTCTCTCTGTAACTCTGCCTTTCAAATAAATGTTAAAAAAAATTCTAGAAGGCAAAAGCAGGGCATTATACTAAACCTGAGACTCTGGTGCCTGGTACAGCAGCATTGGTTGCCTGCCCATGCAGCTGACCCTACCCAGGAGCAGGAGACCAGCAAGGGAGGGAGGACTACAGGTTCCCATGTCTGCTTCCTGTTTACGCATATTAGGGACCATACCTGTCTTAGCCCAAGGGGACAGATTTTATGATTGGCTTCAGATACCATGACAGTCCAGGAAGAGAACTGTTTTCAGCAGAGTCCTAAATGACAGCAGGAACTGTCTTACTCTGTAGCACCCAGAGCCCACTTCCTAATGAATCTCAAAAGGATCATCACCGCTTCACCAGAAGAACAGTGTTGGTGGAAGAATATGGCTAAGGCACAGCAACTCAGCAGGACCCGGAAGCTTCAACTTCAGCACACAAAAGGAAGGGGAGGGGCATGGACTTCAACTTCAAAGTTTAAAGAACAAAATCCTAACTATGTAAATACAATGTCCCCCACACCTATCCTGGTAAGCCATGAGGGGGCTTGGAAACATTTCTTTTAATTCCATTCTACAATGTGAATTTACCATGAACATCTGGAAATCCCATCCCATTCTTCACTCCTTCCTACCAGTCTTTACGGAATTGGGGCCAATATGAAGTTAAGAGGTGCTACATGTTATGTTTTCTTCAGAACTGCCCCAGCCAGACCTCTTATTTGCCCCTTTGGGGTTGCAGTTTATAGAATAAATTTGCCACATGAGCAAACTGTGATTCATTCCTTGCCTCAAGACTACATGGTATTTAAAGGATATGGGGTTAGATTCAAATACAGAATCGTAGGAAAATGTTACATTGGAAATTAATATTAAATGGTTCTGGAGCAGATAAAGCTGCAAAGTGAGATGTCTCTATCCCATATCAGAACACCTGGGATCGAGTCCTCCCTCTGCTTCCAATAGTGGCTCCCTGCTGAGATGCATGCTGGGGGGCAGATGCTGGCTCAAGTGCTTGGGTCCCTGCCTTCCATGGGGGAGACCCAGTTGGAGTGTCTGACTCTGGCAGGGATTTGGGGAGTGAACCATGAAAGCACACTCCCCCAAACACACATCACACCTATCATAAAAATAATCAGTATTCAACATCAATAGTCCTGTCCAGTGCTTCCAAAAACTGGTCTCTCAATCTGAGGTGATAGAACCATCTAGAAAGTTTTCAGAAAAATACAGATTCCCTGAACCTTTCCCTAGAATTGGTTTTCAATCATGCAGGGTAGAGCTGGGGCCACTGTTGCCATAACATTTGTTAAAAAGCATTAAAAACAGCACTGGCAAAAGCATCATCATCAAGTCAAAAGACCAAGAGCAAAAATGGGAGTTAACCACCGTAACTCAAATGCAGGTCTGCACATACTCTGTTACCAGACAAGTCCCTCCAAGCTGGTGCAGGAGCTCTGTGTGCACAGGCCACACAAGCAAGCAGTACTACATACCAGAATACCTCAGAAAGTCCATGGAGAAATAGCAGGAGAAGTCCATTTTGGTACAAAAAATCTTGGAAATTGCAAACAAGTGATCTTCAAAAAGCTCATGGAAAATTCCTTTTATGAAGACGCTAGAGAGGATTTCAAAATTTTTTTGTACCACAATATTTCTCATTCCATGAATACTTCAAAATACACTTGCACATGTAGCTGCAGGTTGTTTACAAAGGGAGATTTAAATCCAGGATCCAGCCATGGTGCCTCTCGCAAGCGAGATTCCCCCATCTCCTCCCGCTTCCTCAACTAAGAGGGAGAGCTCCTAGAAGGCCTGGGCAGCCTCTGGAAAGGAAGCCACTGCCTGGAGCCTCCGCAGGGCAGGAGTCCCTTTTTGGCTGAGGCATTGCACGCAGACCATGTGAAAGGTCACAGACACAAACCCAGGGATTCCACTCTCCCGTGCTGTGGGCTCCAGGCCTTGCTGGAGCGTGCTCCCTCCAGCTCCCTTTCACCCCTTGTATTGTTTCCCTTGGTTCCCTTCCCTTCTGTATAAACAGTTGGCCCTCATCATCCCCAAGCAACTTGTACTTGGTTTGTTACTGTCACTCACTCGGTTGCCCGGTTCAATTCCAGCAGGCGCATTGGTTTGGACATCATCTTCACGCAGCTGTCAACTTGTTTGTCTAGGCTGTAGGCCGGAGTGACAGTTGTTTGGGATTTCTTTTCTCTTTCTGCTGCTGAAAATATATCTCTATCACTGCCTGCTGTGGGTACTGGGATGATTGCTGTGTGTCAGAACAACGTTGAAATCAGTTTCCATGAGCATCCTACAGAGGTAAAGCACTAACACCTGCGGGAAGGAAGGCCTTGGAACAAAGTGGTCCGGATCAGCCTTGCAAGGGTGAAAATGACAACGGGCCTGGCTCCAAAATGCTGCACCGTCACACACGCGCTCTGCCTCGGAACCCTCCAAACCGCCGTCTTGAGGAGGATATCAAAGGAAATATTTTCGGGCCGGCGCCGCGGCTCACTAGGCTAATCCTCCGCCTAGCGGCACCGGCACACCGGGTTCTAGTCCCGGTTGGGGCGCCGGATTCTGTCCCGGTTGCCCCTCTTCCAGGCCAGCCCTCTGCTGTGGCCCGGGAGTACAGTGGAGGATGGCCCAAGTGCTTGGGCCCTGCACCCACATGGAAGACCAGGAGGAGGCACCTGGTTCCTGGCTTCGGATCGGGGCAGCGCGCCGGCCGCAGCGGCCATTGCGGGTGAACTGACAGAAGAAAGACCTACCTTTCTGTCTCTTTCTGTCAAATAAATAAAGGATACTTAAAAGCATAACCAAGGAATCTGTGTGGTGGTGTAGCTGATCAAACATGCAGAAGACGTTGGACTGTTCCATGGATAAATTTTTGAATACATTCTTTAGATTTTTCTACTGTGAAAATCTAACTCTGTACTCCTCTTGAGACTGCTCTGTGGACGGGTGTAAACCAGAGTTGTGTTTGCTCTGGGTCTGTGTACAGCAAGTCAGAATCAAGTATTTAGAGACTTTCATAGCAAATTTACAGTAGCAGCTTCACTCTATGAAGGGCCTTCAGCAGTTCATGGGAAATGCACATGATGAAAGAACTGGATTACAAAATTTTCTGCACATAAAGTTATCTTTTAATTCCATTTTATCACAACTTGAGAAATGCTGGTATAATGACCATCTGTATTTACATCACCTGCATTTAACTGTTAGCCAACTGAGCAGAAACAGACTCTTTCAAAAGGGGTCTCCACAAGTTCATAGAAATGCATATTATGAAATCACTATGCATAGATTGCAAAATTCTTTTACAAAAAATAAACATCTCTTATTTCCATTTTCCCATAAACTATCTGAAGTATCCACCTATGAACAGGACATAAAATTGCGCAAAAATAATCTAAAAGCAAATTTTTTAAAAGGTTAACTGGCTTCTCCTTTATCATTGCTTTCAAAGTAGTGTGACTGGACAGTGATGGATTCATTTTCCTGTTTATACTTCCTATTACATGCATATTCCAAAAGTTTGTATTCGCATTATATGGATACACAGGAGAGAAGTACCATCTTCATCATTTTTGTAACAAACTCCAGCTCAACTCTGTGATCTGATATTTCTTAAAAACTCAGTCCTTTAAAAATTACATTGCAGTGCCTGATTTAAAATTTATTACATGGCAGGCAAAGCTGTTTCCCGAAAGCCATCCTCACACTCTTCTAATGGAAATATGTAAGGTAGTTATGTCTGCTTTTAGAAGATTTTAAGTAAAAGCTATAAAGAAAGTAGCAGGGTGGAAGTTTCCCACCTCATTTAGGAATCAAACTCATATTTGTGAAACAGAAGGTGGCATAACTTTTCACTGAGGACATGATTCAATCCACAGGAAAAATCTACACAGAGCAACTTCATTTGGCGTTACTGATGTCAGTTACAAGGTAAGGGAATGTCACCCATCCACATCACCCAACTTGTTAAGCTGGAAAACTTCATCCGTGGTGACTTTAAACCAAATTGCCTGAGAAATTTGGACAAAGAATCAATTATGCTTGGGTAAAGATTTTGTTTGAACATAAATTGTTTTCTAGATGTTTTGCTGAAGTCTTTTAAAGTTTAATTCCCACAGTCTCCTTTAGGGATTAAGAAGCACTAAAGACAGTGATTTCAGAGTCATTTGTTTTCTCTGTCCTTTATAATAAAAAAGGGCCACACACACCCAGTTACTGAGCTGCTCTTTTTCCTCTTGTAGCTCATCCAAACATTCTATTATGAAGCTGAGACATTTCAGTTACTGTAATGTTTTCCTGAAGGTTCTGGTTCCCACACTGAAATTCTGCCTCCAAAGTCAGATTCAGACTCCAGTTCCCAAAATCTGTTCCAAAACACATTCATAGCCGAACACCCAAGAAAGGGAACGTCAAGCCCGACTTGCCTCCTTTCACAATGAGTCAAAGTATTTTCAAAAGGAGCAAAAATGTGAAAGCCCTTGATGAAGTGTTTTTGAAGTGTCCTGGCCACTTTGGAGGAAAAGTCAAATAGTATTTAACTCTGTTCAGTTTTTAAGGTGGAAAACAACTAAACTTAGCACGAAGACAGGCAGCAAGTGGCTCTTTCCAAGAGAAAAAGAAAAGCACGTTAGACATACGCCACGGGAATTAGTGTTAAATCCAGGGTGGCAGTGGGAGAAAGGAGTAAAAGTGAGATAAATCGATCAATGAATTATCAGGGGATAGCACTAAAGGTGATCCTCTGTAAGTACCGAGAACCTCCTGGAAATATGACAATCAGACACAATAAACTCATATACGACAGAATTAGCACTCAAATCAATGCACTTACCAATACTCCAATGAATCAAAGACTTAAAAAGACTTCAAATAAAAAGCAATCTAATACAGTACTGATACCTACACAGAGGGTGATGCTTCTGCCCTTACCTTGAGGACAGCATCTTGACCTCAGCCGTATCCATCTTAAGGCAAGACACGGAGACTGGACTTTACAGGTCTGTCTGCTCCTGATGAATATTCTGGCATAGGAAATGGGCTTCCCTCTTCCAAAGGAGAAGGCAGATGCATACAATGAAGATCTGAGATGGACAAAGAAATGCCCATGGGGCGACAAGAAAACCTAGTTAGGAATAACAGGTGCAGTTGGTTCTCTACTCAGCACGTGCATGCACTGCACAGATGAACTAACACACAGCCCCTTTCTCCGTCCTTTCAATCATGCTTGGAGTGCATATTATCCCCACTTGCTACATAAGGATTCCAAGGCCAGAAGATATTTCCCAAAGTCTGAAGAACACAACTAAATGCATGCTTGTCAAACTACAAAGTTCAACCTCTTCTACTCTTGGCCACATCATCTGAAGTTATCCAAAAATCTATTGGAGGCAAGGGAAAAAAAAGCAGACTTACCTGGAACAGTACTGAAGGAGAACTTGGCCTCCTGTTTTGACTGGAATTATATTGAAAACACACCAGTTTAGTATCAAAACAGGGTCAAGTGCACTTTAACACTTAAATTCACATAAACCAGAATAAATTCTGAACTAATTTAACAATATACACCAGGACTTCAACCAAGGGACGACAGTCATCTAAGTCATCATCGAGTGTCTTTTGGGAGGTCTACATTTGGCACTAACTTGCAAATATTACTGTATTTTTGGAGTATCCACAGTGGTGGCAAACATATTAAGGTAAACTTGATCTCTAAAAACTGCCATCACTAGGAGTCAAATCTAAGAAGATGATGGTTCTTGCCCATTATCATCATAGGGTGTATCTACAAAGCAGATACACACAAAAGGCTACATGCACTGCTTTGAGAAGCATAATTAAACCTGTGGAACCTAGAAAAAGAAGGAAGATGAAAGAACACCTTGCATTGGAAAGCACAGGCTTATTTCACTGTAACAGGTATTTCAACTGTTGTGTTTACAACTGAGGTTTTTAGAAAGCTCCGGAGAGGGTGCTAAATACACAGAGGCCCAGGTTGAAAGGTAGGGATTCCCCCTCCCCCATCCCAGCTCATCAGCTCTCCCCTTCTCCATTGAGAATGTAAGCTCAATGAAAGCAGGGGCTTCTGTTCACCACTGTGCCTAGGCCTAGGCTAGCCTCATGAGGGGGCTTTCCGAAGTTGCTGTAAAGTGCCATTAAAAGATCTGTCTATTCCAGCCCCCTAACTTCTGTAATCTATACATGACTGGGCTTCAAATAAGCCAGAAAAATGTGTACCATGAAAAAACCATGCATGGATTTCAAAATTATTTGCACCAAAATAAACTCACCTTTTAATTCAATTTTTCACCGAG